GATTAGCACTCCTTTACAGCAAGCTTGGTTGGCTAAATTAATGGGCTATGATTTTTCAATTAGTTATAAAAAGGGAAAAGAAAATGTGGTAGCAGATGCCCTTTCTCGAGTGTCTAGTAACCAGCTCATGGAAATGGCAATCTCTAGGATTCTTCCTGGTATTTATGAAGAGGTGAGACTTAGCTGGGAAATTGATCCAGTGTTTCGAGAAATCTGTAATAAATTACAGCAAGGTTCTTTAAAGGATTCTGCTTACACTTGGTCTGAAGGACAACTAAGACGAAAAGGCAGATTAGTTGTGGGAAATAATGCTACTCTTAGGAGGAAGTTGATTCATTTGGTGCATGATAGTGCAATGGGAGGTCACTCTGGAATTCAAGCTTCCACAAAAAGGTTTGCGCTTTTGTTTTATTGGAAAGGCTTAGAGAAAGATGTGAGGCAGTACATAAGGCAGTGTGATGTATGTCAGCGTTACAAACCAGAAAATACTCCAACTCCAGGGCTATTGCAACCTCTGCCAATTCCTGAAGCAATTTGGACTCAAGTCAATATGGATTTCATTACAGGCCTTCCAAAATCTTATGGCAAAGATGTTATCTTTATTGTTGTTGATAGACTTACAAAATATGCACATTTCATTGCCTTACAACATCCTTACTCAGCTCTTACTGTTGCACAAGCTTACATGGACAATGTCTTTAAGTTGCATGGATTGCCTCAAGAAATTGTATCTGACAGGGATCCCATTTTTCTTAGTAATTTTTGGCAGGAGTTGTTCAAACTCCAGGGGGTTGAACTGCAATGTTCTTCTGCTTATCATCCTCAAACTGATGGGCAAACAGAGGTGGTGAATAGGTGTCTTGAAAATTATTTGAGGTGCATGACTGGTGATCGTCCGACGGAGTGGAGCAAGTGGTTACCTCTTGCTGAGTGGTGGTATAACACTAATTTTCATACTGCTACCCAAATTTCTCCATTTGAGGCTTTGTATGGATTTCCACCACCATTGCATATAGTTTATGTACCTGGAGATTCAGATGTTGCAGCTGTTGATCAAAGTTTGCAAGCTCGGGAAGCTATGTTGAAGGTACTGAAATTTCACCTCACTCGAGCACAGCATAGAATGGTACAGCAAGCTGACAAGCATAGACAAGAACGACAATTTGCTATTGGAGATTGGGTGTATCTCAAACTTCAACCATATAGACAAGAATCTGTGCAATCTAGGCCATCTCACAAACTTGCTGCTAAATATTTTGGCCCATTTCAGGTGATTGATAAAGTGGGTAAGGTAGCATATAAATTAGCCTTGCTTGATTCATCTCAGATACATCCAGTAATTCATGTGTCACAGCTAAAGAAAAAGGTTGGAGCAGAAATTCGAGTGACTAGTCAATTTCCTGTGGATTTGCCTTTACCAGTGATGCTAGAGCCTGTAGCTGTTTTGGGAAGAAAAATGGTGAAGCAAGGAAATCGAGCTGCTACTAAGGTGTTAGTCCAGTGGTCTCATGCTTACCCTGAAGATGCTACTTGGGAGTATCTCTACGATATTCAACAATGATTTCCAAATTTTCATCCTTGAGGACAAGGATGTTTTTGAGGGAAAGGAATTGATATGTAGAAAAATTTAGAAGTCACGTGCAGGTGGCATATGCAGGTGGCATATTAGTTACTGTTGGTTTGTGTCAGTTAATATGCTAGTATAAACGTGTTTTGTAACTCTTTTGTTGGGTGTTCAGTTATTTGGTGTTTCTTCAATCTTCTTAAACTCCTTTGTAATTCTCTTGTATTCCAGACTCTATTGCAAAGGATATATATCGAAGATCCTTTCTCTTTTGTGGATTTTCCTTGTATTCCTTTAAATTCTGTTTACTGGTATCACACCGCTCACGATTTGCTTTTGCAGTTAGCCCAAAACCTCCAACTCACGTCACAAGAAGACTCCTCACCACAGAATTCAAATTGCTTGCCACTATAATGGGGAAGAGAGTTTTCTTAAAAAAAGTTAGGGACGTGTTTGTTTCCCATACAATTACGGTTGAATATACTCCATAATATACGAAATATTATTATTATTATTATTTTTAATTTCAAATTCAAAGCAAGAAAACTTTTAAAAAACAAATTTTAATAAGTTTATTGATAAATGTTGATGAATATATTGAATCGAAAATTGTACAATTCATTTTTTTTTCTTAAATTTCTCTTTTTCATTTGTTGAGTAAATAACTGTATTCTGCTTTTTTCCTCAGGATTTTTCTAAGAATGGGAATGGTAATGGATCAGATCTTCAAGGAAGATGAGGTAAATTCCAACTTCTCTTTTCTTGGTTTTGATGTCCAGTAAATTTTTAAAACTAACATTATTAAATTCCTCTTTCCTTTGGTTAGTAAATTTGTAAACTAACATTATTTAGTTTGTAGTTAGGTGATGCATAGGAAGTGTAAGAAGCAAAGAAGTCAATCCCGTATCGTACCGGTCGGTACGGTTGGTACGTACCGGTTTTGATATTTGACCGAAACGATACAATATTAAATTTTGTTTCGATCAAAATTCGATCGTTTCTGTCAAAATCCGATGTACCGGCTAGAATTTTGTGTACCAGCCGGTACACAAAATTTCGGCCGGTACACTTCATGCCCCCAGGTACACTTCATGCCCCCAAAAAAAAAAAAAAAGATTTCCTATCCAAAACGACGTCGTTTTGGCCAACACTGCAATTTTGATCGCGCAAATCCTCCTCTATTCTCGCGTCAGCTGTCTTATCTTCCATTTTTTCAGTTGCCGGCTACAATTCAAATTTCAAAAGGGCAAATTTATTTTTAGTCCTTAATTTTGATATTTTATATAATTTTCATCCTTAAGTCTTTTTATATATTTTTTTAATCCATTCTTCATATTTTTTTTAATCATTCTATTAATTACTCCATTAAGTTTTTTTAAATACACACATTTTTAATCT